TAAAACAAGATTCCACGTAAATAGGTTATTTATAAATTACTTTATTCACCTTAATATTTTCAAATATACTTCATAATATCATAGGCTGACTGACCGTTTTCGTTCAGAATCGTTTTTCTTATACAATAATATTATATCATTGAATTCAAATTTAATACCATCCATTATACATTTATACAGTGACCCATTTGTAACCTACTGTACAGCAGAGCAACTTTTTAATATTTCAGTTATTTTAAATGCATTGAAGCTCGTACACATTTTTGTAACGGTTCTATAAAAAGATTAAAAAATGGTACATTCGTTAAGGTTAAACCACACAGAGATCATGGTAGAGAACCAGGGATCAGTAACCAGGGCTTGATCTCTAATTTCCTAGCAGTTTTAAAACAACGAGCAACTACAGAAAATATACCGTTGAAAAGCATTTACGATGAATAATGAAGAAGGTATGTTCTTATAGGGTCATAAAAAGATGAAAAATAGTGAACAGTCATTCTAAAATACAACATTTAATCTTTTTCAGAATTGAAAAATATCCTCACTTATTGTAGATGTTGTAACTGGTAATACTGCTAGAATAAATAAAAATTCAAGTATGTTTGGAAAATATAAATATCCATCCTTTTTAAATAATCTCAAACTGTTCACACCACACCAGCCTATTGACTTATAATACTTTATAATATAAAGCAGTTAATTTTATCGTTAGGTACCTATACCTGCTATTCTTAAATAATATTTATTAAAGCGAAAATTACCAAGACTTTCTAAAATATTTATTTCTTTTTGAATTTTGTTACATATAAATTATACGTAGGTAACTATTTTTTTTTAGCATAGATGGTAAGTCTATGTCGGGACTCGGGAACCTCTCGTCCCCCCCCTCCCCTTAAATCGACTACTGATTATTACAATAGGTAGAGTAATTTGGAATGATTTAGTATTTACAGTGCTGTAAAGTATTTGAGTAAAAGTTTTCAAGTATTGAATAACTTTCTAAATATTTTCAGCATGAAGAATTTTCAATACTTTTTTGTGTATTAAATACTTAATTGTATTGAATACTTTTTTTTTTCAAACATTTTATTTTTATTCAAAATATTTGGTTGAAAAAATATTATTGCCAACTACAGTAATAGTTTTATTTAGTATTCTGTATTTCTGTGTTAGCCCAAATGTTTGTGAAAACCCGGTTTTTTCAATAGGTATTCAATAAAAATATATGAACATTTTGAAAACTAAGGTTCATGTTTAATTGAATACTATTTGTAGTCGATGCTTAAGAATAAGTATTGTTTAAGCTACACTTATGATCCAAATGAGATACATAAACGAGACTTTGACTTATAAAAAGAAAAAGTATTACCTACTTAAATTAAGGTTGGTTGAGACCTACCTTAAGCATTGCTTTTAGTTATTATCACAAATTTGTATTTTTAAATAATCAAAATTAGCTTAGGCAATACTTATTCTTAAGCATTGACTATGATTATTGAACAAGGCCCTAATGTTTTTCAAATGTAAAAAACATAATATATTTAATAAATAATTAAAATAAACATGATTATAAACCTACTTTAAAAACCAAAAGTATTTTTAAGGTATTCCAAATACTTTTTCAAAGTATTTGAGTAGTATCTTAAATACTCGACAAAAAAATTTATTTTAGTATTCACTCAAATACATATTAAAAGTATTCTTCACAGCACTGAGTATTTACAAAAAAAAAAAAATCCCAAGCCATTAAGCGAAGTTATATACAAAGAATCTTAAAGACTTTCATTTGAAATCAATGTACCACATTTATTTTTATTAAATACTGTGTCATTTATACTGTAGGTAATTTATTGATATTGAATCATAATTAATACAGACATGTGGTAGCAGCAGGATTATAGAAATTATATAAATCGATTATGCGATTTACCAGGAGAAGCATAATGCAAAGACTGCCAAATTCACTAACCTACTTGGCCACATTGTTTGAAAATGAACAACTCAATCGATTTGGATGGTTTGATGCTCCATTCTTTAGAGGATGCGTACATGATGTTGATGGCAGGAGTAATGTTATTTTCACATGCACCAACTTGCATATACATTATACCTACTTAGAAATGTAGTCACTGATGAAACATTTAAAGTGGTCCCAGTTAATATGGGATATCAGTTGTTGACAATACACTGTATGATTCAGAACTATGTAAGTTATTGTTTTATTTTCATATGCCTAGTAAAATTTAAGATTATTTCAATAATTTTTCATATACCGGGTGATTCTTTTATCAAACAACACTCATTATTTCAAAAAGTGTAAATTATTTTGAAAATATTTTTTTACATAGTTTCAAGTCGCTTATAAAACAACGTTTTTATTAAAAAATTATATTTTTAATTATTTTTTATCCTTATAATTTTTTAAGTTTTTTACTTTTTTGAATGACAACATAGGGTTTTAATTTTATATTCTAAAGTAGAATATTTTTATAAGTATTTTGATACATGAAAATTGAATTTGGGGCGAGTAGTTTATGAGTTATAAGTATTTAAAGTTTAGACGAGCGGAGTGGAGTGGTTCGGGGTTACCCCGCGAAATGTTTGTCCACTTCACCACTCGTCTAATAATATATTACCTTCACCGCTCGTATATGAATAATTAAGGTTAAAAATGCTAGACTCGTTATTTCAGTCCATATCCATAGTATATGTTCTAATGGAAAGCAAGTCAATGCATTTGTGTTATTTTGTGATACGATTTATTAGAAATAATCTATTGCCAAATTTAGCTCCAGAAACCATAATTACAGATTATGAAACAGCACTGAGGGATGCGCTGATTTCACCATAATCAAGTACCTATTAAAATAAATAAAAACATAAAAAATAATGACATAATATTTTTGTATGTATATTGTTAAGGCTGTATGGAGAAAAATGAAAAACTTAAGCTACTGACACCATGTCAACAACAATGACAATGCGTTGAAAGCTTTAAGACTCCTCTTGTCTCTTCCGCTATTGCCTGCCAGTGATATAAACAGTGAATTTTTGTTGATTCGGACATTTTGTCAAAATCATGGAGGGCATCTAGAACGGTGGTAGACATAATATTATGAACAGTAACTTATAATAAAAATATCTTGTTTAAAATTTAATTAACAAAAAATTATACATATTTTACATTTACAATTAATTAATTTATTAATTTATTTATTTATTTATAATGATTAACGCCAGTCGGCTTTTATACAAAGTACTTACATACAAAATAATAACAATTTTAAATAACAATATTAAAATAGTAAGACATAATAACAGTATTAAAAATAGTAAGACAGCAAAAACCAATAATATGGTGAAACAAAAATAAAGGGGCCAGGCACGAAATCGTCACAAATTATATAAATTGTATACACGCATCAGTCTAGGGAGGGGTGCATTGGCAGCAAAGTTGGACCGATCTGTTTGTAGGTAGAACGTGCCCTGTTATCGAGTGTTGCTAGGAACATGGATATTAAGTTTCTCTAATAATCGAGGTGCATCAATTTTCCCATTTAATAGCCCAGAAATAAATCGGTAACTATATGTCTGACGTCTAACTGATAGTGACTCGAGACATAAAATATCATTTATTGGTTGATAGTCATTGGGTGGATGAGAAATGTTTAGGCAGTACCCAGCATTATTCAAAAACCTGTTCTGCACTATATCGAGTCTAAGTATATCACCAACGGTATACGGATACCAGACAATAGAACCAAGTGTACTAGCGCACAATAGAGCACTGAGAGACATTTTGGAGAATTGATTAGTTATTAGTAATTATAATTTATTGAAGCCAATAGTTTTCAATAACATTAGTCATTACATTAGTAGTTAAGAAACTATTCTTAACTGTCCGTACATCCTGTACAATTTCCATTAGGTGTCCTAATCTTAAAATAGTAAAATTTAGAATTTATCTACACAATACATTTTTGTTGTTAGATAATAACTTTACAACTTATGGGTTTTATTGGAATAATTTATTTAAATTGTATTGTAATTAAAAACAAATTTTAATTTTAGTTAATTATTATTTTAATGCATAATTCTAAAATTTCATAAATGCATAAATTCATGTATAATATTTTATAAATCATTCAAGTCCAACGGAGGTCAATAAGAAATACATAATATAAAACAGTTGATTTGCCTGCAGAGATAATATAATAATGTTTTAACATTTTAGCTTACAATAACTACTTTAATCTCGTGTTCTACTAAAAAATTCCCCCAAGGCTTTGTGTAATAAACTTACAGTTGGCTTTGATTTATTCTTTTCTCCGTTAGACATGATTCTTAATTTACATTTAAACTGTAATATGTAAAATTGAGTAGGAGAAAAATGTATTTTCTTTATATTATTATTAACTTTAAGTACTGATGGTATACCACTAACCTACACAGTACATTGTTTAGATCTAATCTATATCAGTTGTACTATCGTTTTATTCATCTGAATATATTATTATGGTTATTATTATTATAATATCATTAAATTCAAATTATAAATTAAAAAAAGTCTAATCTTGTATAGAAAAATTAATCTAACAAATTTGAAATCAATAATTTTGTTTAAGCGTATTGGATAAGAAATGTTGGTCCACAAATTGTATCAGTTCATGGATTGCCTCATCAAACTAATAACAACATAGAAAGCTTCCATAACGCTCTAAGAATTAAGTTTTCTGTGATTCATTCTAGTCTGTGGGTATTTCTTGGTAAGAAAATAATATAACATATAATAAATTCAATTTGACAAAGAATGTATAGTTGCACGGAGGTGATATTATTTTTTGCAAATTAATATATAGTCAAAAACATAATGGACAAAGTTTAAGTGAAAGGGGGGAGGGATAGCTTTACCAGTCAAATAAATTATTAATTGCATTACTTTACTTCTCAATACTGGCATTACCATTAATTATAGAATAATCAAAAATAATAATAATAATAATCAATGGTATTACCATATAAAAAGATAATTCAACAATGTATTAATAATAATTTATTTATTTATTGTGGGTTTGTCTACCAAATTTAGTATAGTTAAAAATTATATATACTATTGATCTCCACTAAGTAGAAATAATGAATGTAATGATATTAAAACTTGATAGTGGATATTATTGATAAATGGAAAAATATTAGAAAGAGTAAAAAAAAATAATTAAAATGTGACGGTGGAAAATTCAATAATATTAATTTTGATTTTTGATCTATAAAAAGGGCATAACATACTCTTAAGTCATGTAAGTGATATAACAGTTAAATTTAAATTTTTACAACATTGGATATTCAGCGATTTCCTTATTTTGTTGTAATTCAAAAACGAATAACTGTAGATACATGCCAATTTCACTGAATATTTATATTAGCATTTCCTATACACCATACAATTTTGTTCACGAGTCACGACTGATGTACAATGATCAAATATCACATAAATAAATTCGAACTACAACTAATAAAATTATTAAAATGTACCTATACCATACTTATCGGCTACCTATAATAATATAATATAGTAAATAGTAATTAATAATCGAAAAATGTATAGTATAAAAAATACTAGCTCTAGGCGGGATACACTACTTGGGGTCGGCTTGTATACCATTCCCTGTTTCACGTCAAGATTTATAGATAATTTATTACGTATCAACTATATTATCTATTATCTATAAACCTTGTTTATTATCTATATCCTTAACGCCAAACTTACAACATCAACGATTATACCAAAAAAATAAAACTAAAATATCATAGCCCTATAAACTTTGGTCTTTAAATAGGCCTATGTAAAATATAGATACTATAGCAGGTATATTTGATAAACACACTCATACAACTATAATAAGCAACTGCCAACTGCCTATACATGTTTATACTTATACAGTTATACATGTTTAAGTGTCACTTGTTTAATGTTCTTTACCTTGATTTAAGAAATATTTATTAAATCGTGGTTATAGTACTTGCATAATATACTATATAGGTATTATATTTTATTATAAGATTATGCAGAGTATGACAGATTGTGGTAAACAATAGCAGGAAACGTCCTAAATTCCTTATGAAATACAGATAATTTTAGATCATTCCGCATTCGATTAAGTTTGAGAACTTTGGGAATAATAAATAATAATAACAATAATATTACCTATATATTTTTTATAAATATATGTATTTTTAATGAGAACACTTTCTTCTAAATGCAATTAAAACTTTAAATTTGGATAGTAGATTTTTTAACCAAACCTGGATCTTCTGATTTTAACACAATATCATAGGTAACTGTTACAGAAGCAAGTTTTACTTTTCAGTGTTAAAGAAAGTCAATAATAAATGTTACTTACAACAATGTAGCAAGACACTATCAAGCTTAGAATTATTAGTGATAGAGCAATAACTGGCCAAAAATGACTATAATTTATTGCTATTGAAAATTCTAGTAAGGGCAGTAAGCGGACAATATAACTGCAGTACCTATATAAAGTATATTGTTATATTATATTATATGCAGTTTTATAAAAAAAACTAGCTGATCCCGTGCACTTCGTTTCCCGTTAAATGTACCAACTCTATATGACTCAAACATTGTTCAATGCGTTATTTAATATTCGGTGTATGATGTTCTAGATTTATCTTAACATTTCTGTTGCCCGGAATAAAAATTCTGAATTGCAGCAGTACATTATCAGATAGGTAATTTACCTGCGGTGTATAGCGGACCCCATGCTGTTTGTACGTAAGTGTGTGATTTAACTCAAAAAGTACCAAAGTTATACCAAGTTTGACGTTTTTACTTAATTCCACCTACCTATAAATCCTAACCTAACCTATAACCGTACTAAAATCCGATGAATAAAAAAAACCAAATTTAACCCTTTTTAAATTAGCGTATCTTCTTCCCATAGGTCATTCATTTATATATAAGATATATTTACAAAAAAGACAACGGTATCGAGTTCAAATCCCAGACATCAATAAATAGTTTTTGCAGTTTTTCTAATTATTCGGTTGACTTTTTAAAAAATTTCTTTCGTAAAAACCTTCACCTGGCAATTACGAACATCTTAAAAAAAATTTGAGCAAAATCGGCCCAGCCGTTCTCAACTGATGCAATTTCGAATTTTTTGTCTCCATTTTTATATATTATATAGATTAAGGATTATGAATTTAAAATAGTACTAAAGTGGTATACATATATAAATATATTATATTGTATATTGTATTGTATAAATTTATTATATTGTTTAGTACCTAAGCAAAAGGGGCCCGGATAATTTTTCAGATCCCGGACCCACTAAAGCTATCGGTATAAGGCATTATTATCAAAATGCTGCATAATAATAATAATATTAATGATATTGAGGTCATTAGAAATTACAATTCATAACACTCGTAAACGCGTTCAACAGATTAAGTGAAATATAGCCATAGCCATGTAGGTACCTACCAACCTATACCTATATAATTAAAAGGGTCAAATTAATTAGAAATTCAACATTAATTAGTTCAATTGAGTCAATACTTAGAAAGTTAAGCTATAATTTAATAGGCTTGGGAGAGATATCGGGAATTAAATGAAAAAAATACCGTACAGGATTTGAACCAGCGACTTATACACCGCGGACTTCCTGACACGTATCAGCATAGAACAATATCAGTGAGCACTGAGCAACCGTGATCTTATCATAATATCAATCTCGATATTCTCCCTCTTGGGACAAAGTGGCAGTGAGTACGGTTGATAGGCAACGAGATGTAATACTACCTATCTGTTATATACTGGGTGATTCTTTTATCAAACAACACTCATTGTTTCAAAAAGTGTAAATTTTTTTGAAAATATTTTTTTACATAGTTTCAAGTCGCTTATAAAACAACGTTTTTATGAAAAAATTATATTTTTAAATATTTTTTATCCTTATAATTTTTTAAGTTTTTTACTTTTTTGAATAACAACATAGGGTTTTAATTTTATATTCCAAAGCAGAATATTTTTCTTAGTACTTTGATACATGAAAATCGAATTTGGGTTGAGTAGTTTATGAGTTATAAGTATTTAAAGTATAAACGAGCGGAGTGGAGTGGTTCGAGGTTACCCCGCGAAATGTTTGTCCACTTCACCGCTCGTCTAAACTTTAAATACTTATAACTCATAAACTACTCGCCCAAAATTCAATTTTCATGTATCAAAATACTAAGAAAAATATTCTACTTTAGAATATAAAATTAAAACCCTATGTTGTCATTCAAAAAAGTAAAAAACTTAAAAAATTATAAGGATAAAAAATAATTAAAAATATAATTTTTTAATAAAAACGTTGTTTTATAAGCGACTTGAAACTATACAAAAAAATATCTTCAAAAAAATGTACACTTTTTGAAATAATGAGTGTTGTTTGATAAAAGAATCACCCAGTATATTATATAGTATATACACCCGATTGGTTATGGAGAGAACGCAGGTGCTAGGGTCGCGTCATAAACCGCATATAGTTAACAAACTTACTATTATCTAACTCTAAAAATTCTAATTAAAATGAAAATAATATTAACTCAACTAAATAATTGCACTTAGCTTGGTGACTTTACAACACTTGATTAGTTATACGCTACCTATTTTAATGTTAGTAGGTAGACTATAATATTATTATATAGAATATGTACCTATAACCTACTCATACAATATTATATTTTCGTACCAACGAAAAATCAGCCTTAAAAGTACATGAACATTTTCGGTT